CTCAGTGGAGCTATATTTTTAAAGGCAACTATACACACCATCTTAAAGTATTTATTATGCATCTGGAAATCCTGCTTCACATGGGCTTAGGGCAGGGGTTTATAAAGACCTATTTACACTGAATGCTAGTATTCACAAATCGACAATCCAACGTTTTTTTTAGTGGAGTTCAGTCTCTTTTTTTCTGATTTTGAAGAAAATTTGCAGACTGAGACATGAGTTAATTCCATATGAATCCATTGCTTACATTGTGCTATTTTACCCAAGTGACATTGTATTTCTTTTACTCTCTTATCAGTGACAGCTGGTTAGACCTTTTGAAGGTGCGTTTGTCGAACAGCGCCACCTATCCTATGGGAGTGAATTTTGTCTTAATGTAGTCCAAGAAATATTTTTGTGGATTTTGGTATAAATAGACCTCTTCTTCATGCTCTCTGAGCTTTGGGTCACATGTCTGGAGCCATACATTATGTGTATTTGCATTCAGTGTCGCTAATGTAATTTATTTTGCTAACCCAGATTTGATGCTTTTTCTCATAAATAAATCAAACAGCACATCTGGGAGTTATTAATGAAATTAGAGTCTTGAACTTTCTTCTATTGCATTCTGTACTTCCATCTGTAAGGTGCATTGGGGTTGTGCCATTGTTCCAGTGCAAATCTGCTTTTAATGTGAATATACCATTTGTCTGCTATTTATTTAGATTTTTTTTAATCGTTTCCTTTTGAGTTTGGCAGGCTGCTTATTTGAAAAAACTTGAAAGACATTTTCCCTGTATGTAATTTTTTTTTATTATGGGTAAATTAATAATAATCGATAATTATTATAAGTAGTAAAATGTACATTTCTAAAAGGAAATATTGCTTTGTTCAACAGGAATAACAACTCTTTACTCAGACCATACTAAACACTAAATATAAAAAATCAGATTAAGAATTTAATGTGTACCATGTCATTTAGTTTTATTTTTGGTGCTTTCTGCTATTATCTTATAGTTTCTTTATACTATTCTTTTGTCTTTTTTATGTTTTCTTCTGTGGTCATTAAAACATTACATGAAAATCATTAGTTACCCACTACATTTTTTTTTCTTATGAAGAATCACAATTTTATCTTTTATTTTACTCACAGCCGGTTCTGCTGTTATGAATGATTCATGTGGTCAGATTAGTCCTAAACCGTTTTCATAGAAGGCTTTTTATTGGTTGACAGTTTGTTGGCATTATGAAGTTCTGCAACATAAATTGCAGCCAATGTGCATCCTTTATTTTCTCTATTGTCAGCTAAATGGCTTTTACTCTGAGCTTCTCTAGAGACATCAAATGTAGCTATTGTCCCTGTTAATAAACAGCGAACAGAGTAATTGAACTACAGCCATGAGGGATTATGAAGTTATTTTGAGGGAGAGGGGGGCTGTTGTGCTCTGAGGGTGTATAGAGAACAATTTCACTTTTATAGACAAATAGATAAAACAAACTTCTCTTCTTGACCAAGAGCCTCAGTTTTACATTGACCTTAGAAAGAGAGTATCTCTAAAAAATATTCAAGGCCTAAAAAGCTCCAAGGCTTTGCAATAAAAATTTGGCAGCGCTACAATTCCTATAAAAAGGCATTCACCCCTGGGAAGTGTGTGTGTGTGTGTGTGTGTCTTTCCAACACCAAACCACAACTGATTTAGTTTGGCTTTTTTTGACAGTGAGCAACAAATGTGTTCTTTCATGTCAAAGTGAAAACAAATTTCTACAAAATTAGCCTCTCCCTTTTCCATGGCTTGTAACTTTGACACCATGGCCAATATCTTATGACTTTGTGTTTAATAAAATGGGTTTGGGACCAGTTAGGCCAAAAATGTGTTGTGGTGGTAACACCTGATATATAAATAATAATAATCAGTTATCTGATACAAATAATAATAGCTTTGTGTGTGTGCATGTGCTTTTTTTTTTTTTTTTTTTTT